AACACAAGGATATAGACCTCTTCAGATGCCAAAACCCTAAGCTACTGAGCCTCCAAGCCTGTCACTTCCGAGGCCGATTCTGTAGATATGCCTTAAACCTAAGCCCTACACCCTCAGCCCTATAAGCCCCAAACCCTAAACCCAAAACGCTTTTGGCCAGAAGCTTCGGGGGAGCCCTTTCTGGAAAGGAACTTAGGGTTTAGAGTTTAGGGTTTAGGGTTTAGGGTTTATTTCTCCACAAGTCTGGGGGCGTAGCTGCCAAGCTGTTCCGAAGTGCCCATATCACGTTGCTCAAGGATCGTCATCAAGCTTAGGGTTTACCAGGAAGGGCCATTAGGCCCTACAATCCCCAGATCAACCCTACGAAGGGCCTTTTTAAGCACAGCCTGCAAATCCCAAAGCCCTTCACCCCCCAAAACTTCTCAAAGCCCTAGAGGCAGGATCCGAAGCCCGGGCCTTCTTCGGGCGAGTGGATCAAGCTGGGAGGCTGCGGCTTTTGTCTGAAGATCCTGCAATAGGGTTTAGGGTTTAGGGTTTAGGGTTTAGGGTTTAGGGTTTAGGGTTTAGGGTTTAGGGTTTAGGGCCGGTTTCTCTACGTTCGCGTGGACCGGTTGGTCCCTGGTCTTGGGGCCTCTGAACCCAGAAATCCGAAGTCTCTCGAAGCCTAAACCCCAAACCCTTGTACCCGTAACCCCAAAACTCTAAACCCTTGCACCCTAAACCCTAAACCGCTGAACCTTAAACCCTAACCTCTGAACCCTAAACCTCCCAAGCTAAGACATGTTGAGCCCGTCCTGCGCAGGCCCCGGGTGCACATGGCGACGCAGAATTCAGACAGGTGCCACACTCCGTGAACCAACAGCTGCGAGGTCGAGTCCCGATTGGTTAGGGGTTTAAGGCATAAAGGTTTTATAGGGTTTAGGGTTTAAGGGTTTTAAGGGTTTAAGGGTATAAAGGTATAAGGGCTTGAAGCTTTGAGGGCTTAGGGCTTTATAAAGTTTAAGGGTACAAGGGTATAAGGGTTGAAGGGTAGAAGGGTTTAGGGTTTTAAGATGGTAAAAGAATGCAGCATCGCAAAAGGTCCTGCGCAGACCCTGCAATCCAAGGCTGCAGAACATTCCGGGGCCGAGCTCGGAACCTTAAACCCTACTAGACACCGAGGGGCGAAGGGAAGTGCCGGTCCAGGAAGATGCAAACATGTTCCCATCTTTCTCGCTGGGTTTGTAGGGGGGGCGCGAACAAAATTCCTAAACCTAAACCCTAAACCCTAAACCCTAAACCCTAAACCCTAAACCCTAAACCCTCAAGGCCAGGATAAATAGAAATTGTAAGTGTTTCATTACGAGCAGCTCGTGTAATAATCCTTCATCCTTCACAGTGCCGAAAATTTTACCCAAAACCCAACTTTCAGGCCACAAACAAAAAACCTGAACAGCCCGAACCCCCCACAACCCTTCCAAACCCCAGCAGGCCCCCGCCCCCAGCCCGCACCCCCCAAGCCAAGCCAGCCCCAAGCAGAAGCCCCAAGCAGAAGCCCCCCCCAGCAGAAGCCCCCAGCAGAAGCCCCCAGCAGAGAAGCAGAGAAGCCCCCAGCAGAGAAGCCCCCAGCAGAGAAGCCCAGCAGAGAAGCCCCCAGCAGAGAAGCCCCCAGCAGAGAAGCCCCCAGCAGAGAAGCCCCCAGCAGAGAAGCCCCCAGCAGAGAAGCCCCCAGCAGAGAAGCCCCTAGCAGAGAAGTTTTCAGCAGAAGCCCCCAGCAGAAGCACCCAGCAGAAGCCGTCAGCAGAAGCCCCCAGCACAAGCCCCCAGCAGAAGCCCCCAGCAGAAGCCCCCAGCAGAAGCCCTCAGCAGAAGCCCCCACAGAAGCCTTGAGAAGCCTTCAGCAGAAGCCTGCAGCACAGCAGAAGCCCCCAGCAGAAGCCCCCAGCAGAAGCCCCCAACAGAAGCCAGCAGAAGCCCCCAGCAGAAGCCCGCAGCAGAAGCCCCCAGCAGAAGCCTGCAGCAGAAGCCCCCAACAGAAGCCCCCAGCAGAAGCTTCCAGCAGCCCCCAGAAGAAGCCCCCAGAAGAAGGTCCCAGAAGAAGTTTTCAGAAGAAGCCCCCAAAAGAAGCCCCCAGAAGAAGCCCCCCAAAGAAGCCCCCAGAAGAAGCCCCCAGAAGAAGCCCCCAGAAGAAGCCCCCAGAAGCAGTTCCCAGAAGAAGCCCCCAGAAGAAGCCCCCAGAAGCAGTCCCCAGAAGCAGCCCCCAGAAGCAGCCCCCAGAAGCAGCCCCCAGAAGCAGCCCCCAGAAGCAGGTCGCAGAAGCAGCCCCCAGAAGAAGCCGTCAGAAGAAGCCGCCACAAGAAGGTCCTAGAAAGAAGGCGCAAAGAAGCCCCCAGAAGAAGCCTCTAGAAGAAGCCGCCAGAAGCGGCCACCAGAAGCCGCCCCAAAACCAGCCCCCAGAAGCAGCCCCCAGAAGCAGCCCCCAAACAAGCCCCCCCCCAAGCCCCCCCCAAGCCCCCCCCCAAGCCCCCCCCAAGCCCCCCCAAGCCCCCTCTTCAAGAGCCCCCCCGCAAGCCTTTCCCCCAAAAAGCCCCCCCAAGCCCCCCACCCCCCAAGCCCCCCCAAGCCCCCCCCAAGCCCCCCCAAGCCCCCCCAAGCCCCCCCAAGCCCCCAAAGCCCCCAAGCCCCAAGCCCCCAAGCCCCAATTTTGTTCAAAAGCAAAAGAAAAAACCGGTCAAAACCCCGTCAAAACTCGGTCAAAACCCCGTCAAAACCCCGGACTTTTGTTCAAAAGCAAAAGCAAAAAACCCGTCAAAACTCGGTCAAAACCCCGTCAAAACCCCGGACTTTTGTTCAAAAGCAAAAGAAAAAACCGGTCAAAACCCCGTCAAAACTCTGTCAAAACTCGGTCAAAACCCCGGACACAAACCCTATACAATTTCTATCTCACCAAGCCTGGAAAGCCATATACAATTCTACCCCATCTACCCAACCCCCCCAACCCCAAAACACCCGTCAGGGCCTGCAGTAGGGATCCCCCTTCCCCCCTCCCCCCTCCCGCCCCCCCGGCCCACCCCCTCCCCCCACCTCCCCCAAGCCTGGGAAGCCATCGCATTTTTGTTCAAAAGCAAAAGAAAAAACCGGTCAAAACCCGGTCAAAACCCCGTCAAAACCGGTCAAAACCCGGTCAAAACCCGGTCAAAACCGGTCAAAACTCGGTCAAAACCCCGGACACAAACCCTATACAATTTCTATAAACCCTAAGGTGCAAGGAGCGCGGCATCAGGGGCCACTTGACCAAAAGCCGGAGCTTAGGGTTCAGGGTTCAGAGGGCATAGGGTTTAGGGTTTAGGGCTTCAGGGTTTAGGGCTTAAGGGGAATCCACTTCAATACCCGCCGGGCTCACAGCAGCAACACCTCGGCAGGATTTGCCATCGCACTGTGCTCCGGGTTCAACAAAACAGCTTCGTGGTTCGTGCGCAAAGGACTTGAAGGCTTTCTGCAGGACTTGGACCTCAGAAATCGAAGTTGTCGAGTTCATATCTGCAACGGACTACAAAACCCTAAACCCTAAACCCTAAACCCTAAACCCCTAAACCCTAAACCCCAGTCAAGACAAGGCCGACTGATGCCTTCTTCTATGCTCACGGGGTTCCCGTGATCGCAGCTACGTGACGGATAAGAGATGTGGACCACCGGGATGTTCGTCGCTCCTACTGGGTCCCGGGATGTTCGGACATCTTGGCAATCAGGATCCCCCTAAACCCTAAACCCTTTTCCTGATGAAGTGACATGAATCCCAGGCACCTGCAGCACCAAAAGCCCCAAACCATCCTGCAGAAGTCCGCCGCCCCTTGATCCCTCCAACGCCTTCACGGCAAACGATCCTCCTATCCCTAAACCCTAAACCCTAAACCCTAAACCCTAAACCCCAAAACCCCAAAACCCTAAACCCAAAACCTCCTTAAGCCCCAGCATCTAAACCCTGGGTACAACTGGGGGGCATGTCTCTGTCGAGTCGGGGTCCGGGCGATCCCCCCACCTTCCACCTGGGCTTACAAAGCGGGGTTTAGGGTTTAGGGTTTAGGGTTTAGGGTTTAGGGTTTAGGGCCTAGGGTTTAGGGTTTAGAGTTTAGGGGACTTCGGTGTTTAGGGGACTTCGGGTTCAAGGTTTAGGGTTCAGGGTTGCGCTTTTGGGGGTACTTGCGTAGGTGTCTTTTTTTCTGAGTTGCGAGCCTTGGGTGGGGTTTGGGGTTCAAGGTTTAGGGTTTAGGGTTTAGGGTTTAGGGTTTAGGATGTGTGATTCAAGGCTTAGGGCTTCATTAGGTGTGCTACTTGTGCACCCCTACGCTTTCCGACCTGGGAAACAGATCGGAAGACCAAAACCCTTGCCCATAAGCCCTTAAACGCTGAGACGCTTTGTCTGCGGCGGCTCAAGTAAGGGTTTAGGGTTTAGGGTTTAGGGTTTAGGGTTTAGGGTTTAGGGTTTAGGGTTTAGGGTTTAGGGTTTAGGGTTTAGGGTTTAGGCTTAGGGTTTAGGGACCCTACTGTAAGCCCTGTAGGCTTCAATCCCTATTGACCTCAAAACCTGAGGGCTTGGGCTTAGGGATCCTAAAGTCCATTTGACTTTCTTCCCTACACCTTAAAACCTGAAAGCTAGGGGGCTTGAAGGACGGGAGGGATCTTTGGAGTTGAGGCTGCTGGATTCGGGTCGGTTTCGGGCTTCGGAACTTGGGTTTCGGTTTTGGGGTTTCTAAGGAGGGTTTAGGGTTCAGGCTTTCAGGCAAAAAAATCGGGTCGCCGATGTGGGCCAACTTTCGGGTCTGACTGCCAGGTGGACATGAAAGCTTCACAGAGCTCATTTAGGGTAGCTTTCCAGCTGTAAACGGCCAAGGTCAACCCGTTGCCCTCTGCAGCAGCGTCGAGCGGAGTCGAGACCTGCAGTAAAGGTCTGGCCAGATGATCTCTTTTTTTCGTGAAGCTTGTGGAAGTCTGCCGCATCTTGTATTCTACAGAGATACGACTTACACTCCTTCATAAGGTTCGTTTTCAAGATGCTCCCTCATGCCGATGGACGCCTCGCAATGGACCTTGTACATGATCCGGTCGAGGTACCGTCGGAGATTCTCCAGCTCAGGATCTGGTGCTGCCTCCCATGCCCACGTGTCGAATACATCCGAGATGAAGGGGGGAATGACCAGCATGTTGTGCGACTCGTCTTCCAAGTATACTCCTGTACGTTCTATGACCAAAAGCGAGGAGTCTCTGTGGCAGCCGGTCTTGGCCAGGATCTGCCCCACCAGTACTCGCCGAACTCGAACAGCATCTGCCTGAGCCTCAAACGGAAACTCCACATAGTTCCAGCCGAACACGTAGATCATGCGCCGATCCACCTCAAGACCATCCTCGTGCTCTGAAACCTATACGGAACTTGGCACCCTAGCAAAAAATTGAATTTTTAGCTGTTCCTTAGGAAAAAATATCACCAAAAAATGGAAATCACTTCCAAGTACCCCTAAGAAACGGAGAACCCCAGGTGCTCGATAACCTTGCACATGGCGGCGCGCAGGTCCGCCTCCTCCATCGAGCTGCAGATGAACGCCACCTGCAGGGGATAGGCGCCCTCAGCCAGGATCCACCTGGGGAGGCTCTCCGAACATTAGGGGGGGGTACCTTCTTGGGGTCCACATGACGAAGGGAATCCTACCTTTTTGGGGATCCTTCTTGGGGTCCTTATTGTAAGGGAGGCCTACCCTTTTGTGGGGGATCTATATTCGGGGTCCCCCCCGATTGTCGTGAAGCCCCTCGCCTCAGGAACTCGGCGGTGCCAAACCTCCAGAAGATGGCAATCTCTTGGCCGGCGTCAACCGAAGCTGCAACGTGCTGCATGTCCTTAGTTGTCCAGTACCTAGGGGTTTTAAAGGTTAACCTTTGGGATTATAGGGGGAATATATGAACCCAAAAAGGTTAAAGGTTACCTACTCTACTACTGAGTGTCATCCCCATCCAGCTGATGACTCACTTCGTGCCTCTGCAGCATCTCTGTGAAGTAGTAGATAAACAAGGTCCGAAAAGACAGGATGATGAGCACCTCCCGCGCGTTGGACGACGCGGAGGCCTCACCTTAGTTGCTGAGATCCTAAGCCCCCCCAAAAAAGGTACACTTTCAGTTCTATAGGGGATTCTTGTATACCAAACAATGTCAAGTGTACTCACTCGGCTACTATAAGTCACTGTGTGCATCGTCAGGGCTCTGAAGCCTTGGCAAGGGCTCGGACTCAGGCTCAGAGGAAGTTGCGTGCGAGGTGCGCTCCCAGGAGGTCGACGCCATCCCCGGCAGACATCATGCAGTCAATTAGCCGAGTCTAAGTTGAGCCTAAGCCCTAAACCCTAAACCCTAAACAGGCTTCAGGAGCTCTCCCAGCAGCCTAGGATATAGACCAACCACCGACATAAGGGCGCCTGTATGTCAAAGGGGGGGGTGGAGAAGTTTGATAGGGCTCTGGGGGTTTAGGGTTTAGGGTTTAGGATTTAGGGTTTAGGGTATAACTAGCTTGCAGGGCCTGTGGAGCAAGTCATATGGCGTTCGAGGATTTACATGTCCCGCAGGTTCCGTTGCTCCGTTGGACGCGAGGCTTTCGCTCGACCATAGTGTTCTTGGTTACTGGCTCCAAAGTAGGGGCCCCCTTACCTACACTAACTTTAGTTAAGGGAAATATAACCTAAGCAGCAAGACTTATGCCCAACTAAGGGCCCTTATAACCCTCTTCATAACTAGGAAGCCCCCACACCTGCGGAATATGTGAGCCTTGGCTGCGAAGTCGCGAGCAGCAGTTGCTTACCCTAAACCCTAAACCCTGAAGCCTAAACCCTAAACCCTAAACCCTAAACCCTATACCCTAAACCCCCCCCCATGTCAACCACCTTGCACCTGCTCGAAGTGTGTTTGGGCTCCTGAACCCGAAGCCCTAATCCTGCCGAGAGCTTACATGTGAACGTGAAAGCAACTAACAGAAACCCTATGCTCCTATCAGGGGACTAGCTATTCTTGTACAGAAAGGGCCCTGGACCCTAAACCTTACAACATACGAGTAGAAAGACAACGGGCCCCAAGAAACCCTAGTACCCGCAGACCCTCAACCCTAGTACCCGCAGACCCTAAACCCTAAACCCTAAACCCTAAACCCTAAACCCCAAACCCTAGGGCCCCACGCCGTCTCCACCACGCGGCAGAGAAGGTTCGGTGTCAACGCCTCGAAGTCCTGTAGGATGCACCTCATCAGCTGATCCATTCTCAAATGAGGGGTTTAGGGGTTTAGGGTTTAGGGGTTTAGGGTTTAGGGTGTTAGGGTGTAGCGTTTAGGGTGTAGAGTTTCGAGTTTGGAGTTATTGAGGTTTATAGGGCTTAGGCTGTCTTATTCAGAATCCTACGCTAACTTAGGGGATGGATGTTCCATAATTCATGGATGGTAGGAGGAAGAGTCGCGCGAGAGGGTGCGATTTCTGCAGGGTTTCGGGATTAAGTGCTCAGCAACTAGTCAACCCTCACAACTACCAAAAAATCAGCCCAGACCCTAAACCCTAAACCCTAAACCCTAAACCCTAAACCCTAAACCCTAAACCCTAAACCCTAAACCCTAAACCCTAAACCCTAAGAGATGGGCTCTTGGGATCCTACATGCCGAACGTCTTGCCCAGCACTTGCTCCGTCTCCTTGTAGTAGCCTGGCCATGGTCTACTAATTGCTTAAGAACCCTAAACCCTAAACCCTAAACCCTAAACCCTAAACCCTAAACCCTAAACCCTAAACCCTAAACCCCAAACCCTAAACCCTAAACCCTAAGTTGTTTAACTTCCTTACAAGGGTAACATCATTCTTTGTTGATTCTTTTGGGGTTCTTAAGTAAATCGTAGTGGTTGTTTTCCCATGGCATCCGGGGGGGGGGGGGGGTAGGGCTTTGGGGGTTTAAAAGAAGCATAGGGTTTAGGGTTTGGGGATTAGGGTTTGGGGATTAGGGTTTGGGTTTTAGTGTTCGGGGTTTCGGGCTCGGGGTTTAGGGTTTGGGGTTTGTGGTTTAAGGTTTGGGGTTTGGAGTTTGTGTTGCGGGCTTAAGATGATGCATCCTACCTGGAGCCTTATTTGTATAGTGCTTTTGTTGGGGCACCGTAAGAATTCGTTCCTATCATGCTTACAACAAGTACCATGGTTACCAGAAAATTAGCTACCCCAGAAAGGAACCGCGGTCAAGGCTCGGTAGGTTTGAAGGTTTTAGGTTTCGGGGTCTGGAGGTTCAAAGTCCTTGGCTCTTTTAGAGCCGTCATCCCCAATCCCGCGCCGAGGTCAAACCAATAACGCTCGAAGCCCACAGCCCCACAGGCCGGGCAAGCAGTACCGGATGTTGGTCGAGGAAATGAAGAGGTCAAACCTTGTCGCAGCTGTGGTGGGGGGGGGAGGGGCTGGGGGTCTGTAGTGGCGGAGCTCAAGACCTAGAAGGCTAGGGGCAGCAGCAACAGAACATCGCCTTCAACCAAAGGGACCTGACGCCTAAACCCTAAACCCTAAACCCTAAACCCTAAACCCTAAACCCTAAACCCTAAACCCTAAACCCTAAACCCTAAACCCTAAACCCTAAACCCCTTGATCCACCGCGAAACCAAGGCTCCGAACCTTAACCCTGACGCTCCAAGAGCCGACCCCCGACTCCGCAAAGTGTAGGGTCTTGGGTTTAGGGTTTAGGGTTTAGGGTTTAGGGTTTAGGGTTTAGGGTTTAGGGTTTAGGGATTAGGGTTTAGGGTTTATAAGGTTTAGTGTTTAGGGTTTAGGGTTTGGGGTTTAGGGGTTGGGGTTTAGGGTTCAGGGGTTCTAGAGTTCAGAGGTTAGGCACTTGGGACTGGGCGGGTCTTCCACATTCGCATCCAACTGCCCTCGCTGCTGCATCTTCTTGACCTGTGACATTCCTTGTTAGGGGATGGGAATAGGGGCACCCTTGGGAATATAGACCCTCTGAATAAGGTCCCTTTTAAGAGAGCCAGAAGAGGTTTAAAATGGGCTCCCTTTGAAGGGTCCCCCTTATACTACCTCGGACTTGTGGACCGCATGAACCCTGAAATTGGGGGTCATATACCCTACACGTTCATATACCCGAAGAGGGATTCTTTATCACCTAAGTAGTACGGCTTAGAACCCAATTTAGGGCCCTTATAACCCTATTTATAAGGCGGGGGCCACATGCATACCCCCCAATTTTAGGGTTCACTTGGTTCAAGGTTCTGCGCGCTCACAGGGCTTGAGGGGCTTGCATCACCCCTACTCTAGTACCCGGGTACCCTGAATACTATACACTTTAATTATACTAGACGAACTCTCAGATGTGGGTACCCGCATGTGCAGAAGCGCTCATGACTCCACTTTCACCCTAATCCACAGCTCCAACAACACAATTGCCGGACTCATCTGCCAGCCTAGAATAAGAACAAATGGAGCCGTTGAGCTCAACGATGTGCTTCTGCAACAGAGTTGTGCCCCGGATAAACCTGCGAAGTCTTTCTCAGCCCCAAGTCCCAAACCCTAAACCCTAAACCCTAAACCCTAAACCCTAAACCCCAAACCCTAAACCCTAAACCCTAAACCCCATTGCTAGGAAGGGATGCCGCCTGCTTCATGCGCTTCTTCCGGTGGGTGCTGAACCCCAGCTCCTTCTTGTAGCACCTCGGGCTTGCTTGAGTCCCCTAAGTAGTAGGATGCCCTTATCATAATGGCCCCAGTAGGGTTTAGGGTTTAGGGTTTAGGGTTTAGGGACTTTCGGAAAAGCCCATATCAGACATGCCGATGGAAGCAGCTGCCTTGTGGCGGCGAGGCGCGCGGGGGCGAAAGCTGCAACAAGCTTTGCAAGCACGGCGCAGGACCGGTGCTGCATGCTTCCTTCCAACGCTTTTACTCGAGGTTGTTGGGTTTAGGGTTAGGGTTTAGGGTTTAGGGTTTAGGGTTTAGGGTTTAGGGTTTAGGGTTTAGGGTTTAGGGTTT